ATTATTTATTTATTTTAAACATGTAATAATTTATATTATGTACAACACCACGCAAGTAATGATTCATATTATTTGTTGGTTGAAACGCATTGACAAGTCTTTTTAATCTCTATGCACAGTCATGATATTTTTTCTGACCAACAGAAGGTTCCTGACCACTCAAAAGTTGCTCAATACGTAGCTCGTTCAGACTTTGTTCCCTCTTTATCGCAAAAACGAACTTTCATATATTTGGATGTTTTGCAGAAACTTGTTTCAAAAAGCCACGATGCCATCCTTCTATAGAACTGCTAGTTTTGTAAATTCTGCTGCACGTCTTTATAGCAGATTCACATATCCCAGCTCAAATACAGAAGGTTAGCGTCGTTGTCTTCGATCAAGACGTCCAATCCAAGTATCCTCAAAATAATCAACTACAGGTTGAGCATCGGGAGGAAAAATGTTTTCATCAATAAGACAGTTGAACATCTCTGCAACCTGGTCTGCAGGAATAAATGTTGGAGCATCTTTAAAGTGAAGTCTGCATCTCTGTCGTATGTTATTTCAAAGAATTTAACGCATACGTTAGTCAAACGCCACCTACCATTAACTTTTGGGCTATTCGTGTTAGATTGAATAATGGGATTTGATTGCCATCTGTATAACGCACCCACGACTCTAACGGTAAAGGGACGCGAACCACGGAGCTTTAGATCCACAGTCGCTCATGCTACCAGTTATATCGCGCTCAGCCTTATTATTTATAGATGATTTATTATTTTTTGTTATTCATTTGTTTAAAAGAGCATATGTTTTTATACGTGTCATTTAAATATTTCAATTTTAGTAATATATATAGTTATAAAAATATATCCACTAAGAAAAACAAAACAAAAACAAAACCTATTGCTCTGGTTTGTTTGACCTTCTCACTCAGTATCAAATTCAATGTACAAGTAAATATCTAAGATGAAAAATGAAATTTGTTTGTTCACTTCGCCTGTTGCCAGAATCTTAAGTCGAGGCCCTAGTGGCACAGCGGTATGTCCGTGAACTTACAAAGCTAGAGACCCGGTTTCTATACCCGTGGTGGGCAGAGCACAGATAGCCCATTGTGAAGCTTTGTGCTTAATTACAAACAAAGAAACAAACTTAAGTCGAGACAAAAAAAAATAAATTAGAAAATAGCTCATCAGGCTAGCTTAGTTTGTGTGTTTGCTCACCCGAACGACATCTTTTACTCATACTGGACTATACGGCTGGATCAAAGACCCCCCTTGACTCCGGCATAAGTGTTCCGAATTTTGTACTGCAAGCCAGGGAGAGAGGGCAACCAGTTTGCAGCACTAGCTACCTCAAATAGCTGGATTGATAGTCAGTGTTATAACGCACCCACAACTCAAAGTGCGAAGCGTGTTTGGTAATATCACGTCTCGAATCCGGGACCTTCAAATTAAATCACACTTGATGGGCAAAATGTGATGTTACTGTTTACAATATTGAAGTCATTGAAAAACTATTTAGACATTCGTAAATTGAGAAAAATCTACTTTCAAATTTTATTATTACTATCTTCTTTAAGTGTTGTTGCTTTTAACTGATAACCAAGGTTTCAATAAATTTATTTTTTCACGATTACAAGTTGCTACGGTCTTATTTTTGGCAGTTACGGTGGATACATAAAAATGTATAAAGATCATTGTAATAGTCAATGAAGAATAAAGTACTATCATTGAAGAACCTTACCATCACGTACTGTAGGAGGTTTTATTTACTAATCATAACTGAATTTCAAAAGATCTTTGGGTTGGAGGATAAGTTGTAGTTTTTTCGTTTAGTGCAAATTTAATATGCAGAAGGGATTATTTGCGCTCTGTCTATCGCAGGGACGAAACCCCGAATTTACCGTTCTAAGTCCGTAAACTTATTGCTGACTTATGGGGATCGAGGATAAGGAAAGCGTACCGTTCTCTTTCTTCTCATTCACCTTTTTTATTTTCTGGAAGCAGTTAAACATAGATTTAACTTGTCGGTTAAAAAATCAATAATCTCTCTCTCTTTATCTGTCTATCTACAATATATGCATCTGTGGATTTTGTTATCTTAAAATGTTATTTCCTTGTAAATATAAAAGTATGAAACATAAAACTACGCTATATTACAGCTCAGTAAGTAACATAAATAAAATAGTTACACTGGATGACACCAGGTCTATTCTTTCGAGTTTCTTATTGCTTTTAGTACAAAGCTACACAATGAACTATAAGCGTACTGTTCATCGCAGAGATTCGAACCCGAGGTTTTAGCGATTTAAGTCCGTAAACCTACTGCTTGCCCTTCAGTGAATACGACACCAAGTTCAACATCTTTTTGTGAAATAGGTGTGGAATATAACTTTCTCCCACTAACAAATAGACACCCACTATTCTTTCATCCACTAACAAATAGACACCCACTATTCTTTCATCCACTAACAAATAGATACCCAATATTCTTTCATTCACTAACAAATAAACACCCAATATTCTTTCGTCCACTAACAAATAGACACCCACTATTCTTTCATCCACTAACAAATAGACACTCACTGTTCTTTCATCCACTAACAAATAGACACCCAATATTCTTTCATTCACTAACAAATAGACACCCACTATTCTTTCATCCACTAACAAATAGACACCCACTATTCTGGGTAGACGTTTCAAGTGATTTTGAAGGATTAATAATGAGTATTTTTTGTTTGTTTGTAATTAAGCACAAAGCTACACAATGGGCTCTGGCCACCGCGGGTATCAAAACCCTGTTTCTAGCTTTGTAAGTCCGCAGTAATGCTGTTGTGCCACTGGGGTGCTTATAAGCAATATATATCCATTATTATATACAAATGTTTCAACTAATTTTGTACAATTCATAACAGTTACATACCCGCTATTTTATATTAACGTTTCAATTAATTTTGTAGAACTCACAATGAAGACAGACTCGCTATTCTGTACTGACGTTTCAACAAATTTTCTAGAAAATCGAACGAGGACATACACGTACCTTTATTTTTTACTGACGTTTCAACAGATTTTTTTGGAACAGATAATAAATACAAACCCATTATTTTCTACAGATATCTAAACTCATTTTCTAGAACGATTTTAACTACAACTAGTTGTACTCACACTTAGCAACACTCATCCTATGCTTGTCTTATAGAGTCCACGTTATACGTCTACTTACTAAGGCTTTCCACCAATAAAACTGTCAATGATGCAAATTAAGTCATAATTTATTGGTAAGAAATATACTTATATTTGGCATCTCAGAATCTGTAAAAGCAGCTTTATGTTATTAAACAAAAACAACGCAATCCTACTATCCAAAAGAAGGAAATAAAAATCAAACAACATTCATTTTTTTTTTTACCCTAATGTTTAAGAAACAACATTTATTGGTGGAATGACTGCGTTATTCGACAATTTAATCTCCCCTTTTTTGTATATAATTAGGAATGGTAAAATGTTTCTGTATAAAAATTATAAATTGACTTGAATTTGATATTCAGGGTGTATATAGTTCGTATTAGTTTACAACACAGGTGTAACTATATATCTCGCATGCTTTCAATATAATATTTTCTCATTTTTCTTCAAATATTTCTCAACTTTCCATGAAGCCAAATCCCTAATTCTTTGTCCAATGACACAATATTAGATATATTTTGTAAGGGTGTTTTGGTAGTAACAAGGTGTATTATACTATACACTAGAAATAACGAACATGTTTTTTTTTAGAGCAAAACTATGCGTAGGCTACACATTTTTAGCGCGAATAAATTGTACGGTAATCCAGTTAGTGTGACTGTGTGAGAGAGAATGTAGATGCATTAATGCCTGAGCAGTAAAACAGATATTGACAATTAACTCTCAAACCCGACAACAAAGGGTATAACTTACAATGTACACCCACTACGGGGGAGTTGTCGTTGCTAAGTAACAACCCATATTAAATGACTCTCGGTACGTGGGGGTACTCCTTGTGTGCCAGGAACCTTTCGATGTGCACGTGTTGCCAGGAACGAGCAATAATTAAGGTACGAAAAGGAAAAGAAAGTAACGAAAATTTGGTTTAGCATAAACCCACTGCTTCGTGAAACGAAATCATTCTATAAAGGAGGAAACTAAAAATATATTTAGAATACTGTCATTAAATCATCGGTCGATATCTAAATTCAGCTGTTATTTAAGAATCTTTATCTTATAAAAAAATATTTGATATGGTATGGAGAATATAAGCTTCTTTCACTCCGATCGCAGTATTTTATTATGATTATTAACACACACATACACACAATAAAACGGTAAGCCAGAGGGTTTAAAACGCTAAAAATCGGAGTTCGATACCCGTGATGGGCACAGCACAGATAGCCTATTGTGTATGTATCTTTGTGCTTACAAATAAATAAACAATAATAATATTTCTACTAATAAATACTTTAGTTTTCCATAACTGTTAATCTACGCACGTAAATATACTCATTTACTTCTTACGGAAGTGTTTTAGTCAATTTAAAGATTGAATATCGATTCTGTACGAACAGTTTTCGCAAGTTTAAAGGTATTTGAATATTTTCTTTGGCTGATATTAGAGTATTAATATTATGTACATGATTCGTGTGAACGCATTGATTTATGATATGCATACAATGGAATTTCACAGTAATTTTAGGTTACATTTTTATCCTATGTGATGTTGACAGATCCTTTTCTTTTGCACTTCAATTAACACGACATATAAATAAAGCGTGACTTGACCAATGTTAGGCACAAAAATCCATCTTTGTATCTGCAGCGTCCAATTATATTCCTGGTACAAGTTTCGTGAAAATTAAACGGTGAAATTGTACACCTAGGTTTAGAATGTCCAAACCAAAAGGCCAAATATTATACACTTAATCTCCACCCCCATCTCATAAATATGTTACAACTTTCTCTAAACTTGTTTAGGCTTATAACCGTGGCATAGGACGGGCGATTTAAGTAATTGCCTCTAGAAAATTGTTACGTGTTTGAAAAAACATGTACTAAAGAACTTTTTTAACTGGCCGTATTGATGAAACTTAATTTTTTGGTCCGTGTAAGTTCCAAATGAATTCGTTTGTAAATTTATCGTTTCTATGTATTTTTTTGTTTTTGATATTTGGTGCAAGTCTCACAGACACGAACTCGGCTGATCCGTACGCCATCCAGTAAGTATATACATTTATATACGCTAAATTATTATACGTATTTATATTAACTCTGATATTTTATTTGAAATGGAGAATATTCTTGAAGTATTTATCCGGAATGCTAAATGGTATTATTTGTAACGTTCACATTCCGAGTTGTTGGCCCAAATAAAATAATAATAAACTTTAACAAAAGACGAATAGATATCTCGAATAAAAATAATTAATCATACGCGCATACTTTTGTGTTTTATTTCACTCTTTGAAATAAATTAAATGTGGTACTTGAAATGAAATCATGAAAATCATTGTCATTATTTTCCTGCTTGTTTATTTTAGTAAGAGTTTGTATATTAGACGTAAAGAAGAAATGCACAGCATTTATCATTAGATGAAACTAATGAAGCAAAAAAAAAAAAAGGAACACTTTCACGAGAGATAAGATTTGGGTTCGAATCTTATGTTAACAATTAATTTATTTTATAATAATTCAAAGAAAATAAATGTTAAGTCGATCTCATATAGTATTATTTGACGGTGCCTTTAAATTTTAATGTGAGTTACCACAAACACTGACAAAATATTAATCAATGTAGATTAAAAATATGTCAAATAATTTGTTTCCCCCAAGAAATTAAAGAATCGTGTGTTTCCACTACATTCTCAAATACGTTTCGTTGATTATAACGTCATTATGATTCTTATTTAAAGCATATAATTATTAAAGATATATGCCCCATCAGTAACAAATAAACTTGCATCAAAATAATAGTATGAAATAATTCAACATTGACAGTTTATATGGTTGGTTTATTTCTAGTTAAGCACAAAGCTGCACAATGGGCTATCTATGCTCTGCCCACCACGGGTATCGAAACCAGGCCATGCTAAGCCTAGATAGGTAGAACTACTTCATTTTAATTGATGAAAAAGTGGAGTATATGTACATGTACGCACATTACTCAGGAACAACATTTTTTTTTTTGCTTGTAATATATGACAATATTTAATGAAAATAATTTGAGGATTTACAAGATTTTGTGTACGATCATTTTCAGCATTCTTATTTACTATAATTCTATAACATCATAATTATTTAGTAATAGATACACAAATAAAAGCTAAAAATCTTCTTAAAATAAGATATGAAATTGAACGTTTTGTATATTTCAAAAAAAAAAAAGGAGAAAAAATGGCATTGCCTAAGTCATCCCATTTATCTCACTTTAGAATACTGTTTCATCGTATATCAATATTGTACTGCGGCTAACATTCTGTGGCATTACATACGTAATTAAAGTCGAGATGACATAGAAATTTAATAGTAAACCTGTAATTTTGCCATTTGCATTCAAAGTACGAGTACCATCTACTGTGGTTCGAAATATGAAATTACTCCATACTTATTGTATATAAGGATCAAGTAACAATTAAGCAAAATATAAATGTTACAATTGACAAAAGATAAAGTATTACAACTAAACAAAACATAGGTCTATGTTGGTTTATTATTGACGATAGATTTTACAATGTTATTTTAATTTTAATCAATATCCCCAATTGTCTTTTTCGTCCTTTGGCTGCATTTTTCCTGATGATATGCTTTATCTTTTAAATTGTCATCTTAAAGTTCAGTTCTGGTAAGGCTTAAGCTTTTGGATTTGAACTTAAGACTTTAGAATTCGGACTCATTGGATAGAAGCATTGAAATTAATATTGTATGAAGATATCTTTGGAAATATAGTGTTAAATTAAATAAAGTTCAGGCCGGGCGTGGTCTTTGGTTAGTATGCCGGACTGTGGATCTGAGATTCCCATTGTCAGACAAAAAAGAAAAGAAAAAAGGCAAGCTGCACTGTGTGTTCGTGGATGTACTACAAAAGTGATATTCAAATCCCACTATTCGATAAAAGTAGCCCAAGAGTTGGCGGTGGATGCTGTTGACTAACTGATTTCTCTTAACTCATTAGTTCAAAAATTAATGACGGCTATAGCAGGTAGCCTTTGTGTAGTTATGCGCGAATACCCGAAATAAACCAAAAACCAAGTAAATTACTTGAGATTAAGAAGTCAACTAATAAGACAGTTATAGACTACACATAAAAATTAGCCGAAAGCTAAGTAAATTTCGTATCAGTGAAATCAACCATGATTTATTCCAACACAGCAGCAGATCGTAAATAATTGTATTTTCCTTCTTTTATTGAAGATGACGTCAATGACATTTAAAATAATAGAAGTTAAAATCGTAAAATAAATAATTAATTTATCAAAATTGCTTATTGCTTTAACTTAAAACACTCTTAACCTCACATTCATTTTGAATTGCTTTGGTTTAATTCGACCTTTATCACAATAACAACAACAACAAGCAGGTTCAACGTTGCACGTAATAAACATGTATGAGCCACAAATTTAAAACTAAGAAACTAACACAGTGGAACGTTACTATCGTGGCATCTGCTTAATTTAATTAAATATATATACATGTATTATTCTCTTAATTTAAGACAATGCGTACTATAGTTTTCTAATAATTTTGAGGTGAATCTCAAGTGACAAAAATGAGAATTTGAGAGTAATAACAAAATTATTATTAACAATATTCAGTGATACATTTTATACGCACTGAGAAAAGGAACTTGAAGTTCAAATGTAATTTATGTGCAACTAAGTAGTTAAAAAGTCCAGGTTAATCGTTAAGTAGTAAATATATAGATTGGCGGTAATTTTTGTAAGTAATAGACCTGGGATATATATATATATATAATGCAAAAGTTATTTTTCCATATATTTTGTTAATATTAAATAATAAATAACCTTAGTTCGAGAGAAGAAAAACATATTTAATTCAACATTTTCTTTTGGACTTGGAGCTAAAGCAATGCTATTTGTTTATATTTATAAAATGCCTTACCTACCTTAGCCTAGGCTTAGTACGTAGTCTTAAGTTTAAGACTTAAATAACTAGTAGCGGTAGTAGTACTACGCAGTCATACCTTTATTAAGTTTTATACAAATTATACTTTTATTTTAAAGCTAACACTGGGCATGTACCAACGTTAGATTACAAATTCTTTATAAACGTACTAAACTTGAAGTTGGATACCCTTGTTAAATAAAAATACAAAATGTTACACTTACAGTGATATTTCAGTAAGCAATAAAAGTTTGGATGTTAGGTTACAAATTTTAAATGTTACTTGTCATTATTATTTAGGGCATACAAGTGACTTTTAGTTCAATATACGTTAAGCATTACAGTGAAAGTTATGTAAGACTTTTCATAAAACATTTTCTGGAATAAAATGGGTCATAAATTGTTGATATGTACAAATATAGTAACTTTAACAAAGTCATTTCTGTAACTGGAAATCAATGATAACTGTGTACTTTACTCTGTTATGTACCCATTTCAAAATATTTGAATTTTTCGTTCATTTTTCAGACCTCAGATAATCACAGAAGGTGGACATTTGATCTTTCAAACGGGAACCAATCATAATATTACATTTCGATCACTTGGAAGTGGGCGAATTGTTCTCAACAATGAAGATTTAAATAAACTTGTACAGCAAGTAAGTATATTATGTATCTTTGTTTGTTCTCGACAATGAAGATTTAAATTGACTTAATGACTTGCTATACAAGTTTATCTTATTTCATAACTTTTCTTATTCACATAAACCAAATTGCTTCTCTTTTTTTTAGAAAAGAAGTTTTTAATACTTTAATTCTCAAAGAAAAGTTCCTTATAATAGAGAGTTATATCCATTATTTTTCATTATGTTTTTGACACTACTAAAAATACATTTACTTACAGTCTGCTAATGATCCGAAATAATTTCCTTACTTTTCCGTTCAAGTATTACAATGATACTAAATTCAACACTATACTGGCTTTTGTTTAGTATGATCAAACTGGTTTCAGAATCATTTCAATAACCACATTTAAATCCTTTTTTTTGTTCTCTGTCTCAAAGTACAGAGATGAAAGAAATTGATAGTTTTTTTTGTTGCAAAACCTCCACTAATTGACATTCAAATTTCACCCAGTTTTTAACTTACACTGAAATGTGGCACTGTTAAAAATGCATAAAATGTTTATTTTTATTACTTTTAAACCTAAATCTTGTAAGTACCGAGTACGTGATAAAAGAATGACAATTGAACTAATACAAGGATCAGTACAAAAATTAGTTATGTTAACTATTGAGCAAAGGTTTTGATAACTTGAATTTAATGCTGTTCTTTTATTATATTCCTTTGAATTGTATCTGTTACGAATTTATCCATTTCACAATATTTTTAGGCCAAAGATTCTGTGAATGAAGTACAGGAGTTAAGAGCATCGAATTTGGTATGTATTTTATTTTCAATAAAAAAAAATAAGACTTAACATAAAATTAACCCATAAACTCAGATTGCTACTTGTAGAGAAGTTTAATAGACTTAAGTGTTTAATGATGAGGTTAACTAAAACGAAAATACTTTTATTAGCACCAGAAATTAAAGGCTATTTGCATAAAAGTAAAAAAAAAATTCTAACACACCATAACACTTTAAAATGTAAAACTTATCTTTTATTTTCTTGTGAAAAAAATTAACAAAAATTTCTTGAGATGACGTAAAGCTTATCCTTGAGTACACCACTCTATTAAAATTTTGAATTATTAAACAACATCAAAGTGTCGACTATGTAAAAAAATTCCATATGTTTAAATTAGTACTTGTTTTTTTTTTAATGGAACACAGTGGTGTTTAAAAAAAAAAGAAGCCAGGAATCATTTTTCACAGGTTTACTATTTTGAAATGTTTTAATAACATGTAATAAATGTTTACTAATTTAACTTTAAGTCAATAATGATAATGAGAAAGTAGATCATTGAGTGATATTACATTTTCAAAAAAAGTGTTATTATAAAAGTCAGTTTAAGATTTTGATTTGTAGGAATTGTTAGCATGGTTTCACACCTTTTTATTTTAGGGAGGTTTAAGACAGACTGTAGAACAGCTAGAAAGTCGTATTGGTACTCTAGATAGTCAACTAACTCAGAGAGTGGACGAGCTTACAAATCAGGTAAAAAATTAATGAAGTGTAAAATGAAATCTGACAGCTACTAAAGTAAGATGTTTCAGGTATTTTCGTAGTTGAACCAATTACTCAGATTATATTAAGGTTTTTAATAAAATAAAAACATAATACTCCAAAATTCTATTCAGCTATCACCAGTTATCAATCTACATAGGCCATAAATAGTTTGTATCCATTATTAATTAAAACACATAATACTGTATTTTCAAAATTAAATTATTTTAAATTTTGAATAACAATAAATTCTTGCTGTTATCCACATGTGTTACATGACAATTACAACCACAATATGACAATGGGCTTAGCATTTGTCCAACCATTAGATACTAACTGGACCAATTACTAATACCTTCTCACATTTCAATTTATCTTGGAAATTTTTGAACAAGAGTAATGCAGTAACAGTGTTAATTTATATAACCCATTATAATATTAATTCTAACTTGTCGTATAAGGTAACACACTGTTGATATTTTAACTATTATAAATAACCCATGCAATACAAATAAAATAATTCTTTCAATAAATCTTTTCAGAATTAATATTTCAATTGAAATGAATGAAGTTGAGCTAAGTGTAAATAAAATAATTGATCGCTGTCATAATGAGAGTGAATCTCCACATCTGGCAAGAAATGTCTATTTTGTAATCCAGTCAGAATTGCATTTTGAAACAATATTAATTTTATTTAGCCAGTAACATGCTACCAGATGAACTTTAAATATTTGAGTTATTTTTGATTTATACCAGTGTTTTCCAAACTGTAGGTTGCAGAACAAGACACAGTATTTTTATTTTAGAACCATTTATCCTAAAATTGTTTTGAATAAATAAAACAAAAAGACAAAGTATAAGAAAACTATTCACGTTACTGAAACATATTAGAACAGTAATTTCCTTTCTTTTCCCAGTTGAGCATGGGTCCCAGAAAATAACCTAGCAACTGAGGTGGGTCTTGAGTCAGGAATATATAAGAACCTCTGATTTATGTTAGGTCGTCAAGAAATTAATGTCGCGTTTTGGAACACTTTCATAATAGTCAAATGGACTGCCTAAACGTTATGATAGTGTAGCTTATATAATGTATGAAGTTTAGTATACTCTAATCCCTTATAGTGATGACACACATTCGGCATGTATTGCTGTTTGAATACAAGAAGGGAAACAATGTCTGTAGCCACAAAGAATATCAAAGAAGTTTATGGAAATGTTTTGAACGTTCATAAGTCACAACAATGGTTCAGAAAATTTCGTTCAGGTGACTTTAGCCTCAAAAACTGTGATGGCAGGGGCTGACATGTTGGA